TTTATTTTTTATTTATCACAGACATACAAGCATTTTTCTCGTTTTTTTTTCATATTGATTGTTTCATATAATACTATAATATCCCTTCGTTTCACTTTAACCACCAGTGTCCCAATAATTATTTCTATATATATCATTTTCATTATATATTTTTAATTTACTTTTATATTGTTTTGTTCTCTCCTATTGCATTATCAAAAACATTGTTTCATATACAATAGTATATATACACAACACACTCACTTAACAAAATAAACAACATCATTTATTTTTTTAATAATTACTCATATTTTAAAATCTAAATAATCTTTTAATAATACACACATAAAAAAAATACATATTTAAAATAATAAAAAAATAAAAATTCATATATTATTTTTTTAACTTTTAAATTATCATTATTCATTTTTTTTAAAACAACTATTTAACAAATATTTAGCTAAATATTTTATTTAATATATTTTTTCAATAACTATAAATTTTTTTTTTTTTTTTTTATTTAATAGTTATTAAAAAAAAAGAAAAACAAAAATCAAATATACTATTAAAGTGGCACAAATTAAAACCAACACTCCTTTAATTTATATAGTTCCTAAAATTAGATTCTCAATTGATTGTGACATATCAACTTTTATTCCAAAAGAGTGTGATTGAACAATTAATTTTTTCCGTAGCTGGTAATAATTTATCAAAAAACATATTTTTAACAAGTTTTCGACCTATTCAAATATCATGGAAAATAAAATTCTTTCAAATGTATTTGGTACTATAGGTACTGTACTTTGGTCAGTACAATTAATACCACAAAGTAAGTTATCGAATAAACATTGTTTTAAATCTCGTTTTTTATTTGTTGGTTATTAATTAGTTTCTTTTTTTTTTATTTTAGTTCATTTAAATTACAAAAGGAAATCAACAAAAGGTGTATCACCAGTCTGTTTCGGCTGTTGGTATGCTTGCGGTTTAGTTTTAGGAACAAATTTAATATACAATAGCGAACCACCAGCTCTTTTTATTCAAATCACTTTATTCTCTATTTTTGCTTTAGCAATTGTATTTCAACATTTATATTACCAAAAGTAATTATTACAATTATGATTAATAATAATTGTTAATGTGTTTTTTTTTATACTAATATTAAATATTTAATTTTTAGGAGGTATAATAGAAAAAGATTATCATTTACATTCGTATTAGTTATTTTAGTATCTGTCGCATTAGTTATATCAATTTATTCAATTTTAAATGCAGATCGTACAAATAAATTTGTTGTAGAGCTATTATTATGTATCATTTCAACTGGGTTAATGGCGGTTGGTTTCTTTCCACAGGTAGCCGAGGTTTGGGAAGAAAAAGTTGGTCTAAGTAAAATATTTGTAGTTATGGATTTCTTTGGAGGTGTATTTTCAATTCTTAGTTTAGCATTCCACGTTCCATTTGACTATATGTCATTTTCAACCTATGTAGTCGTACCAATTTGTCAAGTGATTATATTTATTTTAATCATTAGAGTAACATTAAAAGCTCGTTCAGAAAGTTCAAAAGGTGTCTCAACCTCATTTGTACCATTTATTAGTGAAGGTGAAATTTCAATCGATATGGATATTAAGAGTAGTAATGTTGAAAACGATAATAACAATAACGATAATAATAATAACACTAGCATTAATATTAGCGAAAATGACGAACATCAAGGTGACAGCATTTTACATACCCCCATTTTAGAAAAATATGGCGATGATGAGGAAAATGATAAATCACCATTAAGACCATTAAATGCTTCATTTAATTCAATCCATAACAACTTTAAAGAATCTGGTGGTGTAATTAGAGAGTCTCAGGTTATTCCATCATCAACATTATTAAATCAGTCAACCATTAGTCTTCATAAATCACCACTTTCTAACTCCTCATCTACCACTGTGCAATCACCACTCCTACAACGTCAAGAATTTGATCATATCAATCCATTATCAATTGCCCATACAACCGAGCTTTTGATTAAGCAACAACAACAACAAGCTTTGGCTCAGCAACAAGCAATAATTGAAAACTCGATAAACCAATTAAGGAGTACAATAAATAATGAAACAAATACTGAAGATAATGATGGTTTCCATGGTTATCCAGTTTCATAAATAATAATTAAAATTAAATAATAAAAATAATAAAAATAATAAAAATAATAAAAATAATAAAAATAGAATACCAAAACAAAAATAAAAATAAAAATGCTATATATAAATTATATATTAAAAACTTAAATTTTTTTTAATTGTTATTCATATAAATCAATTCATTTAATTTTTTTCTCTTTTTTTTTTTTTTTATCAACATCAACAAAACATCATCAACAAATTTAATATGAGCACCCAAACAATTTAAAAATTTCAATTTTTTTTGGGTTTTTATTCTAATAATTTATTTTTTAATTTTTTGAAATTTTTTTTTAATTTATTTTTTTTTATTTTTATAATTTTTTATAAATTTTTTTTTTTTTAATAAAAAAAATCTTTTTTTTTTTTTTTTTTTTCTATAAATTATATTTGTACTGTAAGTTATATAATATATTATTTCTGCCTCAAATTATTTATATTACTTTGTAATATATTTTATATTAAAAATATTTTATTAGAATTTAACATTAATTTAAAACTTTTTATTTATTTTAAAAATTTTTTACTTTTTTTTATTATTTTTTATTTTTTATTTTTGATTAAATTTTGTTATCAAAAAATAAAATATAATAAAACCTTCAATTTAATTTTTTTTTTCCCTAGTGTATATTCAATAAATTAGATAAAATGTCAGACGCTAACGAAGAAGATAGCCACGTTCCAGCCTACACCCCATCAAAAAAAGTCACTGTTGACGAATTGTATGTACAAAAATAATCCAACAAAAAAAATATGTTTGTGGAACAAATAAAAATATCAAACACAAAAAAAAAAAAAAAAAAAAAAAAAATATGGTATTAACTTTATAATTTATCAATAAAAATAGAATGAAACAAGATGCTGAAGATGAATCATTAAGAAAATATAAAGAAGCTCTTTTAGGTAAAGCTGTCAGTGGTCCATCAGATGATCCAAGAAAACTTGTTATTAAAGAAATGAAAATTGTTTTCGAAGATCGTGCTGGTGGTAACGAAATTACCTACCCACTCGATACTCCAGAATTAATCCAAGCCATGAAAGAAAAACCATTTGTTATCAAAGAAAAATGCCACTACAAGATTGTTTTAACTTTCAAAATTCAACACGATATTGTTTCTGGTCTCAAACAAATAAACACTGTTTACAGAAAAGGACTCAGAGTAAGCAAAGAAGAAACCATGTTAGGTTCATTTGCTCCACAAGCTGCTACTCACTCTGTCTCATCACCAAGACATGGTTGGGAAGAAGCTCCATCAGGTATTCTTGCTCGTGGTAGTTACACTGCTAAAGTTGTTTTCGTTGATGATGATAAAAACGAACATTTATCTGTCGAATATGGCTTTTCAATCAAATCTGATTGGAAATCAGACGAATAAAAAAATAACAAAAACCTCATCATATTTAAAAAATAATATAAACCATTACCTTTTGCTATAAATAAAAAACCACTCCTCACTCCCTTTTTTTGATTGTATCAATAAAAAAAATATACACACAATTTTTTTTTTTTTTTTTTTTTTGATCGAGATTATGATAATCAAAAATTTATTAAAATACCACACACAGCAAACCAGTTGGAATATTAAAATTGTTATAATTTGTTTACATAAATCATTCTTTTTTTTACACTTTTCATACAGCAGCCAAATATAAACTTAAGTTCCAATATTTTTGTGTGAATATAACTCAGTCCTGTTTTGGTCAAAAATAATATTTCCAAAATATTTTTCAAATATTGATTGGTTTTTATTTTATTATTAAGTTGAGTTCATATATTTTTATAAAAAATTCGGGGATCAGAATTATAAAGTTAAATAAAGAAACAAATAAATTATTATTTCATCAAAAAATATTAATTTTTTTTTTTTATTTTTTTTTAATTTTTTTTTTTTTAATTTTATAATTTTTTTTTTTATTTTTTTTTTATTTTTTTTTTAATTTTTTTCAATCAACTTCAATTTTTTTTTATTTTTTAATTTATTAAATTTTTTTTGTATATAAATTTTTTAATTATTATTTCTTTTTTATTTTTTTCTTTTTTTTTCAATAAATAATATAAATAAACAATGTCAAGTGTTGGATCAGGGGTAAGTTTATTGGATTTATTTTAGTTTTATTTTAGAATATTAATATACTAATTTTATTTAAAACAAAAATAATTTTATAATAATAATAATAATAATAATAATAAAATACTAATATTTATAATAATAATAATAATAATAATAATATTAATAATAACATGAACATAATTATAACCTCACCAACCAAATTGATAAATTTTAGTATGATTTATATGTATCAACATATTCACCAGATGGTAAATTATTTCAAGTAGAATATGCCAATAAGGCAGTTGAAAACAGTGGTACACTTGTTGCTATTAAAACTAAAGATGGTGTTGTAATAGGTATTGAAAAATTAGTTCCATCAAAGATGTTATGCCATGGTTCAAATCGTAGAATTCATCATATTGATACACATATTGGTGTTGTAGGTATCATATTATACAAATGTTTATATTCACCTATCTTATTGTATGCACATATTCTAACAGTTGTTTTTCTCTTATTCATTGAACCATAAACAAATACAAATCGATAAATTATTTTCACACACACTAAAAATATCATATTATATAGGGTGTTTCAGGATTTTTAGCAGATGCAAGACAATTAATTACACGTGCCAGATCAGAAGCCAAACAATACAGACAAGTTTATGGTCAACCAATTCCAATTAAAGTTTTATCACAAAGAATTGCATCATATAACCACGTTCATACATTATATGGTAGTGTTAGACCATTTGGTTGTTCAATTGCCATTTCTGGTATCGATCAATATGGACCACAACTTTATATGATCGAACCATCAGGTTCATGTATTGGTTACTTTGGTTCTTCTTTGGGTAAGGGTAAACAAGCTGCTAAAAATGAATTAGAAAAAGTTAAATTTTCAGAAATTACAACACGTGAAGCTATTAAAGAAGTTGCAAGAATGTAAGAAAATCATCATATATTAACTCATACAATATTTTTTTATAAAATAATTAACTAATTTTTTTTTTTCTCTTTTTAAATTAAAAAAAAAAAAAAAAAAAATCAAATTTAAACCCAAATTTTAGTATTTACTCTGTTCATGATGAAGTTAAAGATAAAGATTTTGAATTAGAATTAGGTTGGATTTCAAATGAAACCAATGGTGTTCACCAACTTGTTCCAAAAGATATATTCGATGAAGCTGAAGCTTATGCTAAACAAGCTTTAGAAGAAGCCAATATGTAAATTTTTCCAATCAAAATAAAATAAAATAAAAAAACTTCATAATATAATTACTTGTTTTATAAAAAAAATAAATAAAAATAAATAAATAAAAATAAATAAATAACATTTATATTATTTTTATATTATTTAATTTAAATTTAAATTAAACTATTCTATTATCTCGTTTTTTTTTTTTTTTTTTTAATTTTTTTTTTTTTTTTTTTTTTTTTTTTTATTTAATTATTTTTTAATTTTAAAAATTTCATAAATAACTATTTTCTTTTTTTATTTTTTTTATTTTTTTTTTTTTTACTTTCATTTGTTATTTTTAAATTAATTATTGAAATAGATATTGTTATTTTTAATATATATATTTTAAAATTAATATATATTAAATATAGTATATTTATTTTTATGATTATTTAAAGAAAATATATTATTTTACAAATTTTAAATATATATATTTATATTTATAATAATAAAATATTAGAATTAAAATCAAGCTATGGATCAATTAGAAAGAATCGAATTGGAGTCACAGGTTTGCAATGAGTTAGAAAGATTTATTGGAACAGGGGATAAAGTCTTAGCAGAATTTGTAATTAGTTTAGCAGAAGAAAATCCCAAGTTAAAAGATTTTAATAAAGCATTGGAAGAAAATGGTGCCGATTTCCCAGAGTCATTAAGTTCCCATTTGTTCAATTTAATCGAAAAAATGAAAAAAAAGAATCAAAAAACCACAACTACAACAACCAAAAATAATAGTAATAAATCAAATGATTGGGACGATGACAATTTACAAAATGAAAAGGCAAAATCAACTAAATTTCCAGGTCTATCAATTGCAAATGATAACGAATTTCAACAAGGTAAAGTTGTAGAGGTACCAATTGATGACGAAAAGACTAAAAGAGAAAATAGAAAGAAAATGGATGATTTAGATAAAGAGTTTGATTTAAAATATAATAGTACCAATAGCAATGGTTCAGATAAAAAAGGTTATGATAGAAGAGATGGTGACAGAAGAAAAGAGTTGGATAAAGAACCAGTTTTATATAAAATTTATAACGGCAAAGTTTCAACAATCAATGATTATGGTTGTTTTGTTTCATTAGAGGGTATACAAGGAAGAAGAGATGGTTTGGTACATATTTCACAAATTCAATCAGGACGTGTTAAATTAAATCATCCATCTGATGCAGTTAAAAGAAATCAGAGTGTTAAAGTTAAGGTATTATCAGTAGCAGGCTCAAAGATCAGTTTATCAATGAGAGATGTAGACCAAGAGTCTGGTAGAGATTTAAATCCACAACAAAATATTGTTTCAATAACAAAGGATCAAGATAGAAACAGAAATAATCCATCAAGACCATCCAATAGCGGTGTAAAGATTAATGATGACGATGATGACGCCTATTCAGGCAGATCTAGAAAGAAAATTTCGTCCCCAGAGAGATGGGGTCATAAGCAATTAATTGCAGCTGGTATATTAAGTGTTCAAGAAATGCCAAACTATGATGAGGAGTATGGCTTAGTTAATGACGATACAGAGGGAGTTGAAGAAGATTTCGAAATTGAAAGAAATGAAGATGAACCACAGTTTTTAAGGGGTACAAGAGCCAATATGCAACAACTATCACCAATTAAAATTGTTAAAAATCCAAATGGTTCTTTGCAAAGAGCAGCAAGTACACAGTCTGCTTTGGCCAAGGAAAGAAAAGAAGAAAAGAATCAACAAAGAAATGAAATGATGGATAGTATGCCAAAAGATCTTTCACTACCATGGCACGATCCAATGCCTGATCCAGGTGGTCGTCATTTAGCACAAGAGATTAGAAGCATAGCTAGTCAAGGTATAGATACTGACCTACCAGAGTGGAAGAAAAATACACAGGGTTCACATGTTTCATATGGTAAAACTACTAGTAGATCAATTAAAGAGCAAAGAGAGTCACTTCCAATATTTCCACTTCGTGAAGCATTTTTACAAGCTGTTCATGATAACCAGTTATTAGTTGTAATAGGTGAGACTGGTTCAGGTAAGACTACTCAAATGGCACAGTACTTGGCAGAGGCTGGATATGGCACCAAAGGTAAAATTGGTTGTACCCAACCACGTAGAGTTGCAGCGATGTCTGTAAGTAAGCGTGTTGCAGAAGAGTTTGGTTGTCAATTAGGTCAAGAGGTTGGTTATGCTATTCGTTTCGAAGATTGCACATCGCCTGAAACCATTATCAAATTCATGACCGATGGTATTTTGTTAAGAGAATGTCTTTTGGATCCAAATTTATCAGCTTATTCAGTAATCATTTTAGATGAGGCTCATGAAAGAACTATTAGTACTGACGTTTTATTTGGTTTATTAAAGAAAGCCTTGGGTCGTAGACCAGATCTTAAAGTTTTAATTACATCAGCCACATTAGAAGCTGAAAAGTTTTCAAAATATTTTATGAACAGTCAATTATTTATTATTCCAGGTCGTACTTTCCCAGTAGATATTCGTTACACCAAAGAGCCCGAAGCAGATTATTTAGATGCATCCCTAATTACAGTTATGCAAATTCATCTATCAGAACCACCCGGTGATATCTTACTCTTTTTAACAGGTCAAGAGGAAATCGATACAGCTTGTCAAATTCTATATGAGCGTATGAAATCGTTGGGTTCAAATGTACCAGAGCTAATTGTATTGCCAGTATATTCTGCTTTACCATCCGAAATGCAAACTAAAATTTTTGAGCCAGCTCCACCAGGTTGTAGAAAAGTAGTCATTGCTACCAATATTGCAGAAACATCTTTAACCATCGATGGTATTTATTATGTAATTGATCCAGGTTTCTCTAAACAAAAATGTTTTAATCCAAAGAATGGTATGGACTCTTTAGTTGTAGCACCAATTTCTCAAGCAGCAGCAAGACAAAGATCTGGTAGAGCTGGTCGTACAGGTCCAGGTAAATGTTATCGTCTATATACTGAGAGTGCTTTTAAAAATGAAATGTTACCATCATCCATTCCAGAAATTCAAAGAACTAATTTGGGTAATACAGTATTGACAATGAAAGCTATGGGTATCAACGATTTATTAAATTTCGATTTTATGGATCCACCACCAGTCCAAACCTTAATATCGGCAATGGAACAACTCTATACATTGGGTGCTCTTGATGAAGAGGGTCTTTTAACACGTTTAGGAAGAAAAATGGCAGAGTTTCCGTTGGACCCTCAGCTATCGAAAATGTTAATTGCCTCTGTAGATTTAGGTTGTAGTGATGAAATTTTAACTATTGTTGCTATGCTTTCAGTTCAAAATGTATTTTATAGACCAAAAGAAAAACAAGCATTAGCAGATCAAAAGAAAGCTAAATTCTTTTCATCAGAGGGTGATCATCTCACTCTACTCAATGTTTATAATGGTTGGAAGAATAGTAAATTTAGTAATCCATGGTGTTTCGAAAATTTTGTTCAAGCACGTTCTCTTCGTAGAGCTCAAGATGTTAAAAAGCAACTCATTACAATTATGGATCGTTATAAATTAGATATTATCTCTTGTGGTAGAAATCATACTAAAATTCAAAAAGCAATTTGTTCTGGCTACTTTGCCAATGCCTCTAAAAAAGATCCAAATGAAGGTTATAAAACTTTAGTTGAGGGTCAACCTGTATACATTCATCCATCTTCAACCTTATTCAATAGAAATCCAGATTGGGTAATTTACCACGAATTGGTTTTAACAACAAAAGAATATATGAGAGAAGTATGTACCATTGATCCAAAATGGTTAGTCGAGTTAGCACCAAAATTCTTCAAATCTGCAGATCCAAATAAAATTTCAAAAAGAAAAAGAAAAGAAAAAATCGAACCACTTTATGATAAATATAATGATCCAAATGCATGGAGACCTTCAAAGAGAAAGGGTTAATATTTAATAAAATAAAACTAAAATAATAATTATAATTATAAAATTATAATAAAATAAAAAAATTTGTGTAAAAATGATAAAATTGATTATTCTAAAAATAATTTTTATTTATTTATATACTTGATGATTAATTGTCATATTAATTGAAGGTTTGATTTTATGTCCCGAATGATTTGATCTAAATTTTCTTAAAATGGGTGTGGATCTAAAATTTATAATAGTTGTTTTTTTGTTTTTGGTAATAATTTTTTATTATTTTTTTTAGTACTTATTTCTTTGGGGATACTTTAAATATATTTGAGTTTAATTTTTTTAAAAATGATACCTTTCTATTTTATTATTTAAAATTTTATAAATAATATAATTATATTATAAAAAAAATCGATACTTCCAGTAACTTGATAAAATAACCCTTGTTTTTTAGTGTTATTAATGGTTGAAATAGGGGTTATATATTAAAAAAACCAAAAAACCATTTTATTTTATTTTATTTTATTTTATTTTATTTTATTTTATTTATTTTATTTATAAATTAATTAATAAATAGATAAACTAAATTATTTGCAGATATGAGGTTGATGCCACTACGTTTAATTTTGGATTCTATTGAATTGGACCTTAAATAGATCTAATGAGTTTTTAAAACTTCTAAATTAAATTCACTAAAACCAATAAGTGCTAATCTTTTAAAGAGTATTTAATAAAAATAATTTAGTTGGTCAACCGATCCTTTAAAATATTAAAAACAATTGATTAGATTAGTGATTCTGTTTCTATTTGTTTTTATTTTTGTTTTTAATATTATATTAATTTACTTACTTGTTCTTATTAATGATTGTATCTGCTATCACAATAAGTTTTATGTACACATGTTGTTTGATTATATGAAAATATCATTTTTTAAATAAAATGAAATTTATGAAAAGTGATTTGGATACTATCGTATGGTGGGTGATTTATCTAAATTATAAAATTATCTTCGACTTTGAGTTGACTTAAATTGAAAATGATGTGTCGAAACCGAAAAGAAAGAATTGGAAATGATGCCGAGACTTAAAAGAAAGAATTGGAAATTAAGTGGCGAGACTTAAAACAAAGAATTCGAATTAACCTAAATAAGTATTAGTTTCTTTTATATTCAAATATAATAATAATTATTAAATATTATAGTTACCTTAAAAATCAACCAAAATAGACTTTAAATATAGAGCATGATACATTGAAAGAGAAATAGTTATACCCTTTTTTTATGATCTTCTATTTCTTCTATGGGTATGTCCTCTTGCTTGTTGCTCTCTTTCTATTGTTTGTCTTAATAGTTGTTCTCTTAAATAGTTTTCTCTTTGTACCCTTTCTGTATGTTCTGCTTCCATACTTTGTCTTCGATAAATTTTGGGTACTTTTTCTTGCTTGTCTAATTTGTTGTTGTCTTTCTGGTTGGTGTGTTTGCATTCTTTCTGGTTGTCTATTTGGATGCTCGATTTGCATTGTTTCTCTTTCTGGTTGAAGATAATTTTATAATTTAGATAATGTTGTCTTTGTGGATGCTCTATAGGCATTGTTTCTATTTCTGTTGGTTGTCTTTGTGATTACTCTATTTGCATTTTGTTTGAAAAAAGTACAGTTTAGATGGTTATAACTATATAAAATTAAAAATAAGTTAATTTAAAGAAATAGATATTTTAAATTAGGGATTCTACAAAGTCATAGCTTGCCTTTAAAAAAACAAATTTTTATTCCCAACTGCCCCTACAACACCTATTTTTACTTTTTTTAAAAATATGAAAGCTGTTGGATATATTCTTTTTTTTCTAAATTTAAAATTTTATAATATTATCCAGACTTTCTTTTAATATATTTGAATTTCTCAACACTAGAGTTGATGCTATTTTGTTATTATATTAATAATTAAAATTATTAAAAAAAAAAAAGGAAAAATATTAAGAAAAAATAATTATACCTTTTTCTTTTGGGTTTGGGTTTTTTTAAGTTCAAACTTTTAAAAAATGAATATTATATTTTTTTTTATTACCCAAAAATATTTTTGTTAACTTATAATATTTTAATTTTAAAAGTTTAATATTTATAGTTTTATTATTATATTTTTATAAATACCCTTTTATATGAACTGTATCCGTGTTCTGTAAGACTATTTGGTAATGTGCCAGGTAGAAATACTTGGTTATATTTATTGTTGAATGTGAGTGCTGTGAGACTATTTGGTAATGTGCCAGGTGGAATTACTTTGTTAAAACCATCACCAAATGTGAGTGTTGTGAGACTATTTGATAATGTACCGGGTAGAACTACTTGGTTAAAACGATGACCGAATGTGAGTGTTGTGAGACTATTTGGTAACGTGCCGGGTGGAACTACTTGGTTAAAATCATAACCGAATGTGAGTGTTGTAAGACTATTTGGTAATGTGCCGGGTGGAATTACTTGGTTAAAACAATGACTGAATGTGAGTGTTGTAAGACTATTTGGTAATGTGCATGGAACTACTTGGTTAAAAAAATAACCGAATTTGAGTGTTGTGAGACTATTTGGTAATGTGCCAGGTGGAATTACTTGGTTAAAAGCAACACCGAATTTGAGTGTTGTAAGACTATTTGGTAATGTGCATGGTGGAACTACTTGGTTAAAAAAATAACCGAATTTGAGTGTTGTGAGGCTATTTGGTAATGTGCCGGGTGGAATTACTTGGCAAAAATTACGACCGAATTTGAGTGTTGTGAGACTATTTGGTAATGTGCCGGGTAAAATTACCTCATCAAAATATTCACCGAATGTGAGTGTTGTAAGACTATTTGGTAATGTGCCGGGTATAAATACTTGGTTAAAATTATCACCACCGAATGTGAGTGTTGTGAGACTATTTGGTAATGTGCCGGGTTTAACTACTTGGTTAAAATCATTACCGAATGTGAGTGTTGTGAGACTATTTGGTAATGTGCCCGGTTTAACTACTTGGTTAAAATCATTACCGAATGTGAGTGTTGTGAGATTATTTGGTAATGTGCCCGGTTTAACTACTTGGTTAAAATCAATACCGAATGTGAGTGTGGTAATTGTATTTGGTAAAGTTGTTGGAGTTAACATTTTATTAAAATAGTTCAAATATAAATTTGTCAAAAATGGCGGAAATTCATTTTTATCTGGTAGTGTATCACCATGCCACTTAAGTGTTGTTATATATGATTTATCTTTAAACTGGTCATAACGTGATCTATCAAATTCTTCAACACTATGTCCAATAAACTTTAAAATATGTTTATGAATTTCATTTCTTAAAAATATATTATTCCAAACTATATATAATAATCTATAATAAATAGTTAAAAAGAGAAAACACCAATTAATATGCTTTTAATTAATCGACTATTATTTATATTTATTGTGTTGTATTGTATTGTATTGTACTTACCTATCACTAATATTACCATTGTTTTTTAACTTTTCATTTACTTGAAAGTTAATTAGAGATGATAGTAGCTCATCCATTATGAATATAAAATATAAAAAAATAAAAAAAATTTTATAACAAATTTCTTAAAAATTTAATAAAAAAAACTTAAAAAATTTTCAAAAAAAAAAAGCAAAATATGATGATTATTTTATTTTATTTTATTTTATTTTATTTTATTTTATTTTATTTTATTTTATTAATATTAATATATTAATTAATAAATAGATAAAGATATTATTCTCAGATATGAGGTTGATGCCATTACGTTTAATTTTGGATTCTATTGAATTGGACCCAAAATAGATCTAATGAATTTTTAAAACTTCTAAATTAAATTCATTAAGAGATGTTGGTTCACTAAAATCAATTGTGCTATTCTTTTAAAATATTAAAAACAATTGATTAGATTAGTGATTCTGTTTTTATATAGTTTTATTTTTGTTTTTATTATATTAATTTACTTACTTGTTCTTATTAATGATTGTATCTGCTATCACAATAAATTTTATGTACACATGTTGTTTGATTATATTATGAAAATATCATTTTTATATAAAATGAAATTTATGAAAAGAGTGTTGATGAAAAGTGATTTGGATACTATCGTATGGTGGGGTAATTTATCTAAATTATAAAAATATCTTCGACTTTGATTTAACTTATTTTAAAGCACAATTAAAAAGTATAAACTTTACCCCCAATCTATGATTAATGACTTGAAAATTTCAAGTTGAAATAAAGTGTCGAAATTAAAAAATTAAAATTCGATTTAACCTAAATAAGTATTAAAATTAAATATTAGTATCTTTTATATTCATATAATAATAATTATGCAAATATTAACACTACTATAGTTACCCTAAGAATACAAATATGCCAATATTTTATTAATGATTCGAAAAAACCACAATAAAAAATAATAAGCAAAACCATAATGTATGATGAATGATTTGGAAAAACTCCCAATTAATGATTAATGACTTGAAAAAACCACAATTAAAATAATAAACAAACCCCTTTGTATTATTAATGAATTGAAAATGATGTTTCCAAACTGAAAAGAGAGAATTGAAAATGATGTGTCGAACTGAAAGAGAGAGTTGAAAACGATTTGTCGAGACTGAAAGAGAGAATTGAAAATGATGTGTCAAACTTGAAAGTGAGAATTGAAAACGACATGTCGAGACTGAAAGAGAGAATTGAAAACGATTTGTCGAGACTGAAAGAGAGAATTGAAAACGATTTGTTCAAACTGAAAAAGAGAATTGAAAATGATGTGTCGAGACTGAAAGAGAGAATTGAAAAGGATGTGTCGAAACTGAAAAGAAAGAATTGGAAATGATGTGAGGAGACTGAAAAGAAAAAAATTGAAATAAACATAAATAAGGATTAAAATTAAATATTAGTTCCTTTTTTATTCAAATATAATAATTATTTTATATTAAGATTATAGTTACCTTAAAAATCAACCAAGATAGACTTTAAATTTAGAGCATGATACACTGAAAGAGAAATATTTATAATTATATAATATAAGAGCGTTTTAAATCTGAAATAGAAAGAATTAAACTAAATATGAATTAAATATTAGTTTCTTTTATATTCAAACATAATAATAGTTATGTATATTTTAAAATTTTGTTACCTTAGGAATACAAACACACCGACGTTGATATTAAATAAAGAGCAGAATTAAACCGTAAGACAAAGCATTATAATTAAATGGTAAGACAAAGCAATATAATTAATACATTTACTGTATATAAGAATAAAAAATATTAGTTTCTTTTATATTCTAATCTAATAATATTTATGTAAATATTAAAATTATACTTACATTAAGAGAACTAGTTGTTGGAGCCTTTGTAGAGTTGAGGATAATTTGATGAATAATTTAATATTAAAAATGTAAATATCGATGGTAATGTTTGTCCAATGATGTTTTAGCCTTTTTTAATTTAGTTATTAATCAGTACCCATTGGAATAGTATATTATTTGATCCATGTCCATGTGATCATCGAATTCGTGGCCAGCAAATTCTTGATCCATATCCAATAAATCTAATAATTACATATTAAAACTGTAATTGAAATCGAAAAGGCATTCGACATTCATGTGGTACAAATCAGAATCATTATTATTTAAAGCAGCTTCATGGTGATTTCATAATGATTATCTGGTAATACAGTTATAGTGACTTCATTTAACCATCGACGTGATTATCTCTCTCTACAATTAAATAATAAATTAAATTAATATATGTTTATTTATTATGTATAAATATGAAGTATGAATTACTTACTATAATATCATTAAATGGACTCTACATAATGGTACCCTTTTTTATGATCTTCTATTTCTTCTATGGGTATGTCCTCTTGCTTGTTGCTCTCTTTCTATTGTTTGTCTTAATAGTTGTTCTCTTAAATAATTTTCTCTTTGTACCCTTTCTCTATTTTCTGATTCCATTCTTTGTCTTGATAAATTTTGGGTACTTTCTCTTGCTTGTCTTATTGGTTGTTGTCTTTCTGGATGGTGTGTTTGCATTCTTTCTGGTTGTCTATTTGGATTCTCGATTTGCATTCTTTCTGGTTGTCTATTTGGATGCTCGATTTGCATTCTTTCTGGTTGTTGTCTTTGTGGATGCTCTATTGGCATTGCTTCTATTTCTGTTGGTTGTCTTTGTGAATGCTCTATTTGCATTCTTTCTGTTTCTCTTGGTTGTCTTCTTGGTTGTTGTCTTTCTGGCTGTTCAACATCCATTCTTTCTCTTCCAAGATGTTCTCTACGTACCCTTTCTTGTAGTTCTCTTTCTCTTATTAAATTTTGGGTACGTTCCCATTCTCTTTGTTCTCTTTCTCTTCTTTCTCTTTCTCTTCTTTCTCTTTCAATTCTTTCTCTTTCGATTCTTTCTCTTTCTAATATTTCCAAACGTTCTCTTTCTCTTGCTGATCTTTCGGAACGTTCAGTTTCTTGGAATTCTCTTTCTAATTTTTTCAATTCTTTTCTGAGTTCTTTTATTGATTTTTCCCTTTCAGTTTTTTCTTTATCCTTTCTTTTAATTTCTAATAATAATACATCTGACTCTAATGTCTTGTTACTATTGTTTATATTATTATTATTATTTGGGGCTGGGTCTGAAGGATAAAAGTGTGGGGTTGTTCTCTCTTGTGGTTCTATTGGGGTCTCTTTAAAAAAAGCGAGATGGAAAATATCTTACTCCCCTTTCTACATGTATTGTCTCTGGTATTGGAGTAGATGTTATCTAAATTTAAACTACCATCATTATAGCTATCGTTATTATAATTATTATTTTTAAAATTATCATTGTTATCATATATATTATTATTATTAAAATTATTAAAATTATTATTGTCATTAAAATTATAATAATTATTATAATTAAAATTATTGTTATTATTATTATAATTATTATAATTATTATATATATTATTATTAAAAATATTGTTATTATTATAACTATTATAATTATTATTTAAATTATTATTATTTAAATTATTATTATTAAAACCATTATTATTATTATTATTATAAATATAATCATTATTATTATTAAAATTATTATTATTATTATTTTTAAAATTATTATTATTATAATTACAATGATTAAAATTATTATTATTATTATTATTAAAATTATTATTATTATTAATGTTATCATTATAATTATTTTTAAAATTATTATTATTATTGTTATTGTTATTGTTATTATTGTTATCAATGTTATTATATAAAAAACTAAAGAAACAAAAAATGATAATAAAAAAGATAAAAAAGAAAATAAATAAATCATCCATTTTTCAAAGTGG